AACAACGCATATGCTAGGCAATTTCGTAACAACATTAGATTTTTCAATGGCCATTTATCTTTCACTTCTCTATATTATCGCCTCGATAGCGCTACTGCAAGCTGGAAAAACAGTGGCATATACACCTTTCGTGCACACGGCTAGATCTATCACAACATCAGGTCATTTGGCAGAGAAGATGGTAACGAGCCAAGACATCTTGAGCTTTACTTCTACGACGATGATCCAAGCCTTGAGCACCGCTTTCGACGATGTCGTGAAGAGAAGTGCCAAAAAGACAAGGAAGTCATTAAAAGGCTTGTCACCGTCCTTCGTGACAACCCATACTCACAACATCTTAGGAGTGTGGGCCAGGCTAACCACCTTGAGGACTATCGTGTCACACTAAACCTTGACCAAAAGCTGGACCAAAGAACATACAATGTGTCATCAACTTCAGAGGTGGCTGCTGTTTGGATCGAGGGAAGCGAACTCCTTGGTTAGTTCCAAAATAGTGTTGTCCTGCATGGGAAAGATAGAAGCAGACACGGCATCTGCTCATATCATGGATGTTATGATGCTCTTTCATACCCCCTATTCTTCCCTAAGGATGAGCTTGGGTGGCACATGGATATTCTAAAGAAATGAGTTAGTATGGAATAAGTCATCGAGTACCGTGCCCTGCAGAAGGCTCGTAGTGGGTCAGGAGAAGAAACATGTTTGTTATTCTTCTTATTTAATACTTCACATACATGTACCTCCATGGTTATTCTACAAATAACTCTAATTCATGGCTATTTTTTTAGACTCCCATGACAGACTATGTGTGTCTGTGCGTGACTACTACTACTATAAATTTCAGATGCGTCCAGGAATATTTAACCCCATACTTTATGGTAAGCGTCTGTTCTAGCAGTATGATGTTGACACGTACATCAAGATCGAGAGTTCTCGATTAGATTATATACGCAACCATCAAGATGATATTAGGGCCGACCTCTACCAAGGATTGGTTGATAGTCTACATGCTGGTGAAGGTAGAGCAGAAGCTGTTGGAAAGCGGACAGTGATGCCTTCATCATTTATTGGAGGCCCACGTGACATGAGGCATTGGTACATGGACACCATGGCTCTGGTACGGAGGTTTGGTAAACCGGATATCTTTCTCACTATGACATGTAACCTGAACTGGGATGAGATCAAGCGTGAACTCTACCCTAGCTAGACGCCATAGGACCATCTAGATCTCGTTGCTTGGGTCTTTAGAGCAAAACTACAAGAGCTAAAGGATAAGCTACTAAAAAAGGATATTCTTGGAAAGGTGCGGGCACATGTTTATGTTGTGGAGTTCTAGAAGAGGGGTCTGCTGCATGCACATTTTTTGCTAATCATGGATAGGAAGTACAAGATCACGTGCCTATAGTAGTATGATCGTCTCATCTCAGTTGAGCTTCTGAACAAGAAGAAGTACCCAATCTTGTACAAAATGGTTACCAAACATATGATGCATGGCCCTTGTAGAGTGCTTAATCATGATTGTCCATGCACAAAGGGTCATGATTCCTTCAAGAACCGTTACCCTAGACCTTTTCTGTGATGTCACAATACCGGGCAAGGTTTCAAATCTAGTTTACAGACGGCGTGAAGATGGCCGAAGAGAAAAAGTTCACGGACACGATCTTGACAACAGATGGGTCGTGCCTTACAATCCATATCTCCTCCTTCTGTTCAACTGCAACATCAATGTTGAGGCATGTGGGAGCATCAAGGCAGTCAAGTATCTGATTAAATACATTTATAAGGGTCATGACCGGGCGTCTGTGGCTATGAGAGAGGTTGACAAGGAGGATAGTGAAGGGAACGTTGATGAGATCAAGCAGTATAGAGATGCTAGATGGGTAACACTCCCCAGAAGCCTTGTGGAGGATATACGGGTTTGATTTGAGTGATAGGTACCCTGCTGTTTTGTCCTTATAGCTACATCTTCTAGAGATGCACATGGTGCCATTTCATCAGCGCAAGGGGATTCGACGAGTGCTTGATCGTCCAGGTGCTGACAAGTCAATGCTTACAGCGTACTTTGAGAAGAACAGGACAGATGAAATAGCTCAAAGTATATTGTACCGAGACTTTCCTAAGTTCTATACGTGGCAAGCACAGGGCAAAGTTTGGCAAAAAAAGGGTATGTCGTGATTCATTATGACAGATTGGAAGAATTGTGGTTGCCAATCCAGCCGAGAGGAACCGTTACTATCTTAGGGTTCTCCAGAACCACGTGGCAGGTGCACCTCCTTTGAATGTCTAAGGACCGTGGATGGAAAACTCCTACCGACCTTCCCTGAAGCTGTAGAAAGAAGGGGCCTAATCGAAGAGGACAACATGCTGAACGAGAGTCTCGCTGAGGCAACCGGGTGGATGATGTCATATGCACTGCGAAGGCTCTTTGCAATAGTATTGATATTTTGTGAGCCCAGCGATGTGTTTGGACTATGGAAAAAACACAAGGATGGACTATGGGAAAAACATAAGGAGGCAAGGTCAGAGGACTACAGGCGTAATAATCAATCCACCTTCATGGTTGAGCAGATGGTCCTCATAGATATTCGAAAGTTGCTACAATCAATGCAGAAGGATATAAAGATGTACCCACTTCCTGATATCGACGACACATATGACGCCTCTCATGACATTCCTAGAGAGATTTTTGAGGAGGCTAGCATTGAGGCTAGCGAGGATGATGTAGCTCTGTCAGACACCCTTAATGAGGAGCGGTGGGCTACATACGATGAGATTATGTCCTCGGTTGATACCAAACACGGGGGTCTCTTCTTTGTGGATGGTCCTGGCGGGACCGAAAAGACTTATCTATACATAGCACTTCTCGCTACTATACGCAGTCAAAAAAAGATTGTTGTGGCAACAACTACACCTGGTGTCGTAGTCTCAATAATGCCTAGTGGCAGAACCGTCCACTCGCGCTTCAAGATTCCCGACACCATTGATAATGGGGCCTTTTGCACCTTCACGAAACAGAGTGGTACTACTAAGCTGCTTCGAGCATCATCTCTCATTATTTGGGACGAGGCTAGCATGACAAAGAGGCAGTCTATCGAGGCGCTGGACAACAGTCTCCGTGATATAATAGACCGACCAGAGCCACCGTTCGGAGGGAAGACCGTGGTGTTCGGTGAAGATTTTAGATAGGTTCTTCCCATTGTTCGGAGAGGGTCGAGGGCTCAGGTGGTCGATGCCTCGCTACGGATGTCGTACCTTTGGGATTCCATGTGACATCTAAAACTGGTGTGCAACATGAGGGCAAAGAGCGACCTGTGGTTTGTAGAATACTTGTTGCGTGTCTGTGGAGGATCTGAGGAGACGACTGTTGATGATGAAATATGTCTTCCTCATGATATGTGCATACCGCACACCGGGGAAGATAGTGACCTTGATACTCTAATTGATTGCATATTCCCTAACCTCAGTGCAAATATGTCAAGCAAAGGTTATATCACCTCTCGAGCGATATTATCTACGTGGAACGACTGGGTTGATATGATTAATATGAAGATGATAGGTCATTTCCACGGGGATGAGATGGTGTACCATAGCTTTGACTGTGCGGTGGATGATCCGCACAACTACTACCCTGAGGAATTCCTTAACACTTTGACACATAATGGTCTACCTCCACATGTGTTGAAGTTGAAGATTGGCTGGTCATACTGCTTAGGAACATTGACCCTGCGAATGGACTTTATAATGGTACCAGGCTTATCATACGGGGGTTCCAAAAGAATACCATAGACGCAGAAATTGTGTTGGGACAACACGCTGGAAAAAGCGGGTTTTTCTGCCTCACATACCCTTATGCCCGTCGGACGACGAGATGTTCTCTTTCTAATTTAAGCGAAAGCAGTTCCCTATTCGACTCATCTTCGCGATGACCGTTAACAAGGCATAGGGGCAGACTATCCCTAACGTCGGGGTATACTTGTCGAAACAAGTGTTCTCGCACGACCAATTGCATGTGGCGCTATCAAGAGCCACATCAAGATCGAACATTAGGATCCTGGCTGTGCCGGCTGCGGAGAAGGAGATGAACAGGGGGAAAGGGAAAGGGATGGAAAAGGAGAAGCGAAAGATGAAAGCGACAAATGATATATTCACAAAGAATATTGTATATATAGAGGTTCTGACTCCATGAAAGAGGTAATACATCACACAGTCAATACACATTTTTTCAAGATATATCAACAGTACTTTATCTTTAAAATTTAACAAACAACTTATATGCAGGATACTTATAATGCAAGAAGTCAGATACTTATAATGTAAGAAGTCAGAAGCCGCATCTTGGACTTGAACCTTTATATGCTTTGTACCAGATAACTAAACTTTAGATGCTTCAATGTGCTATTAATTCAGAGAATGGCAGTGCATTTCTTCTCATTATTATGAGCAAATTAATTCATTAATTGTCATATGAGAAAAACTTGTTATCAGAGGCTTGAAATTTTCCCATTTTCTAAAAAACCGTGCATATATAGTTAAGAGTTATCCTTATTTAAATGAACACGCACATTGGACATGTATGATGCAGCAAAAGAACAACCAAAGTTGAATTTGAATGGAATTTTTTTTGTTGTGTATTTTTGGTGGCGCCAATTGAAGATCACCCATCCATATATAAGTCACTTTTTCACCACAATTTAGTTTTTTCCCCAATGTTAGTAGGGCATCTTTTTTTTTTTATGTAACGCACGGACATTTACCTAGTGCAAACATACATAACAAACTGACTTGGGCCGCCATTGATTTGGGCCACCTCCCTAAATTCGCTAGGCCCAACGCCTCCCTCCACTCCCCCCGCGGCCTAGCCCCTTCGCCGTCCAGTCCTTACTCCTTACCCGGCGGCGTCCATTTCAAAACCCGCGAAACCAAGCACGCACGGCGTCACGACCGCACCACCCCCAGAGGCAAGCGGGCAAGGCGGTCTTTCTCGGGCCCGGGCACCAGCGGCGATGTCGGCGGCGGCGAAGGCCAAGGCGAAGGCGAGCGGCGGCAAGCGGGCCGCGGCGGCGAAGGACCCCGCCGAGGCGCTCGTCTCCGACAAGAGGCGGCGGGAGCGCGACGGCATGGATGACTCCGACCACGAGTTCGACAGGTGCCTTGCCTTGCCTGCTCCGCGCCCCTCCTCCCCCCCTCTCTCTCCTCTCGCCTTTCGTGTTCGCTGCTTTGGATTCGCCGCGGTCCGTGAGCGAGGCCGTTGGTTCGAATCGGGGCGACGAAGCGAGGGTTTTCGTTCGTAATTGCGCCTCCGTTCCGTGACAATTTTTTTTGGGGAACTTTCGTGCGATTGATTGATTCCTCTCTACACATTTCATGATCCCGGGCGTGCCTTCAATAGTTCAATGTGATTGTTGGAGGCAGTGACATGAAGGAGATCGTCACGTTGCTGAAGCATATCAAGGACAAGGCCCACAAGGACGGCCAGAAGAAGACCGAGCAGGCCATTTCTAGGTGATTACGATCTCCATTCCCGCGCACCCACCCAGCATTTTGGTTTTACTGAATGTCTATGTGCGGGACTGTTCTGTAAGTGTACATAATGTTTTATTTAACGTGAAGTGTACATAATGTAATGTGTGTGTGTGCAACTGTTCTGTTTGCTCCAATCCAAGGGAGATTTGTTGTGGTTTGTTGCATGGCAAGCACAACATGTAGTTAAGATCTGCAGATTTGCACAAAACGTCTGATTGATATCTGATGTGGTACCCTACTATGGAAGGCATGTGTTGGTGATACTTGCTGTGTTGTGTCTGATTTGTGCACTTTAGATGGCTGTGCTTCAAACCACAGTTTAGCAGGGCGCCTATCATGGGTGTCAAATTGTTCTCCAATCCCTGGGTGCTTTAACGAATCACTGATGATTGTTGTAGTAGTTCACGATTAGAGAATTTGTTGTCCCTTGGTCTGCGCGCATGCTGAAGGTAGCATTATTACTGAATCCACCTATGGTGTCTGGCAAGTAGAACAATGGCATCATGGAATCTTATATAGTTTCTATCTTTATGACCAATGTCTAGGTAAACTTTGTCCTTGCTGTTCTACTGTCGTTTCCGGTGTCCACATGATGCATTCTTCAATCTGAATGTTGTACTCGTTGCAGGGAGCTATCTTGAGTACATTGCTAACAAGTTTTGGTATCTTTCAGTGTGGCAACAGAGATTCAGACTATGGTACAGGACACCAAGTCTAGGCTTGAGAAGGAGAGGTGAGCAAATAACTAATCCATACATTAGCTCCTGCAGCGAAATCTGATGTGCTCCTTTTTAGTTGTAGCTATAGACTAAGAACTGAAACAGGCTCTTGATAATAAATACTGTGAACACCCTGAATGGAATGTACCCCTAACAATTGTTTTTATGTGCGTGCACAGGCAGAGTTTTCTGAAAGCATTGTCAAAGACTTCAAAAGAGGTTTGGAATTGTACTTGATGCTTCAATGTGCTTCTGGTTGCTAATCTGATCAGATTTTGGTTAATGGAAGATTCATTTATATGTTATGCAGTGCGAAGGTTTGTTGAAGAATGAGTACACCAAATTTCAAGCAACACATGACAAGTTCTGCAAAGACAAAGCTGCACACATACAGAATTTCAAAGGTAGGCCAGATAAGAGCTAAGCTGATACCTATTGTGATATGCTGTATCGTTATTGTTTTGCATATCTTTATCTTAGCTCATGTCATGCTTGAGCAGTCCTGGTACCATCCTTAGTTTGTTCATCATGCATATGCTGGCCTGGAATGATTACCATTTCATCTTGAATATGACACGTTTAGATCTTGACTCCAGATATTCTGTGGCCACAAATGAGTTGTGCCGTTTGCCTTTTTTTGTTAATTATCATCAGAGGAAATCTATAACAAGCTCACCTAAGGATGCTTAATCTGCTAGCAGTTTTGCAGCTACTAAATGGAACCATATATTGCTGTGCTGTACCTATACTGTCACACACACTTTCCTATAATTCGTGATTTAGAAAGAGATAATATTTTAGTGTTAATGTGAAATCACCCATAGAGCACTGTGCTGTGCATATATTGCCTCACTGTCCTCTTCACTGAAATAGTCGTCATCAGTTATCCTCATTTTTAATTGACCAATCTGTGTACTCTTTTGTGCAGACCTATTCTCAAAGTTTGAAGATGATAAAGAGAAATTGCTTGCGCAGTATGAACTGCAGAGTAAGTAGTAGATAGCTAGTTCCTTCAGTTGTGTTTATGAGTTTGCTGCTCTGACATGCCTTTTAACAGGGAAGAAGGAGAAGGCTACTCTATCTGAACTTGAGAAAACATTTTCAGAGAAGATAGCAAATGCAGAAGAATCTCTGAAGAAGATGAAGCAGGTAAATGTTGCAGCATGCTTGATTTTCCGATTACTGATCTCACCACCATGCATCGTTACCGTGACAACTTCGTATGGTTCACGAAACATAATCAGTTCTCTAATTCTGCATTCATGCTTCACAGGACGACAAATCAATTCACATCCTTCGCAAGTCCATCGGCTCATTTCTGAGCGGCGACCCTGATGATCAGTCTGGTCAAGATGATGACTGAATAAGCTGCTCTCACCAAATGGTTTCTAGTTTCAGATCTATGTGGATAATATGTTATTGGAGAATATATATCATCAGTGCATAGGGGAGTCAAGGATATATATAGGGAGTTGATAGTTTGTGACTGCACAACTCGTGTGCTTAGTTTTCATCGGCTCGAGCTGTGATGTTATGGAGAATGATTTCACGTTATTTACTTGGTGGATTTTAGTAGGCTTAGACTGTGCTAGGTTGGAAACGCATTTTCTGGTTGCACCATTACAAGACGTGCTATACTTGGCCTGGACGCTTTACAATTTGGTCAGCATCTGCTCTCCTCATGCCACTGCCCACTGCAAACCAAGTTCTCCTGTATCAATATTCATTCAGTAGTAAAACATATATATGGTATACATGTCATTGCAAATTTTTATGTTTTTGAAGGAATGCAAAAGCAAAACAACAGGAGATTTACACACACATACTTCAATGGAAAAAAAAGGTTGAGATCGTTGGCAATTCCACATGTCTTGAAGTTGAAGTAGTTCATACTCTCTGTCCTAAATAAGTCATTCCAACTTTTTTTGAGAGGTCAAGTTTGATCAAAATTATAGAAAAAATACAACGATATATGACATCAAATAGGTATACTATGAAAATATAGTTAATGAAGAATCTAATCTAATGATACTTATTTGATATCATAAATGTTATTATTTTATTATATAAATTTGGTTAAACTTAAGATGCTTTGACTGTTTAAGAGAGTTGGAATGTCTTGTAATTTAGGACGGAGGGAGTATGTTGTTTAAGGAATGCAGAAGCAAAAGAACAGAAGATTTACACACATACTTCACCGGGTAAACAAAAAAGGCTTGATATTGTTGGCGATTCCACGGTTCTTGAAGTGGTAGCATCTCCTGACCTGTACTGTAGCTTGGAAGGAACCGGTTCCTAGCTCATGCCTGTTTACTTGTTTAGGGCATCAGGCACGCCTTTTGATAGAGGCAGTGGCTTGATCGGGTCCGTGCACATCGACCATGGCTGCCATGGAGCACGCCTTGCACTGGAGGCACCACCGGCCGACGCACACCATGGACGTGTACCGCTCTCCACACCCGGGGCACTTGGCCGGGCACTGGAACACCTGCCGCCCCGGCGCGGCCGGAGGCTTCTTTTCCGTCGGCGGCTTCGTCTGCCATGGCGTGTTGAGCCACGCGGGGCAGCGGGCGCACCTCATGCCGTCCCGCCGCTCCCGGCGCCCGACCATGCCGCGGAACTCGGTCTTGCATGAGGGGCAGTAGATGAGGATGGGCTCGCGCGGCTCCTGCACCGGCGGCTGCATCATCATCAGCACCTTCACCTTCGGCCGCGGAGGCTGGGCCTGGGCCTGGGCGGTGGCGGCCGGAGGCGGGGGAGTGCTTGTGTCCCGGTCCGCGGGGCCGGAGCAGGAGGGGGAGGGCGACGGTGGCGGTGGCGGTGGCGAGAGGGCTTCATCGTGTGCCTCCCGCAGCAGCCTGAAGGCGCCCTCGGCGGCGGCGCAGTGGGTCTTGTCCGGGTGGACGAGGAGCGACAGCCGTCGGAACTGCTTCTTGACGGCGTCCTGCGTGGCGGCGGCGTCGGCGCCGGGGCCTATGCCGAGGACTGCGCGCCAGCCGCCGGGGCCGCCGCGCTCGGCGGCGTGGACGTGGACCTCGTACGCCGCGTGTCCACGCCCGGGAGGGTCGGGCAGAGCCGCTTCGCCTTCTTGGCCTTTCTGTGCGCGTCGTGGATTTTGCCGGCGAGGAAGAGCTCCTCCGCGAGCCGGTATGCCTTCTCGGCTTTCTCCCTCGCGTTACACACCGCCATGTGGTAGCCTGCTGGATTGGACTGGTCTGGAACTCTGGATGGACGGAGCCTTTGCATGGAGAGGGAGGTATATAGCTGGCTGTTCAGTTGCCTCCAAGTCGGGGTCGGAATCCGATCGAGTCCGAATCGGCCGATGGAAAGCACCTGGCTCCGCCCCGGTATCGGAGTCTATCTAGTACTAGTAGCTTTTTATTTTGTTATAATGCAAAATCATTACGTGACGAATCTAATGATACTGGTATAATAAATATTGATATTTTTAGCAAATCTGATCAAAATTATGACTGTTTAACTCGTACTATATTAGAATTTACTTTTTTCTTTCGGACCGAGTGTGTTTTTGTCATAGTAGGTTACAAGCAACTAAGTAAATACAGTTTGTATCCAAGAATGTCTTTTCAATTTTCTTATTATCTTTTCTCATCGCAAACTCTCTCTGCCTTGGAGCACGTGTAGAGGTAGATTCCCCCCTACCTATTATCTGCCTTTTTTTTGAGAATTTCTATTCATCTATCGGATGTTATTGTGTCTCTTGATCAATCAATTTTCTATGGCTATGATTCTGTTGAGATTCGTGCATTCTGAGGTGTGTCTTTGTTTCTGGGTCACTTCCCTGCGTGACGGGCTTGTTTCCATGTACTAGGCCCATTTCAGTCCATCTTTCGTTTTTGGGGCCCCTTCATTTTTTATTCCTTTGGTCGATTCAGACACTCGACGGAGGAGATAGAGTGCGCTTTGTCCGGAGACGGAGGCGTAGGTGCCGGCTCGAGTGCCGGCTCTGGCGTCGCCGGAGGTGGAGGCGGAGGCGGGTGCAGGGTGGAGGTGGAGGTGGAGGTGGAGGCGGAGGCGGGGGCAGGGGCGGGGGTGGGGGCGGACGCGGACGTGGAGGTGCCGACGCCAGCTCCTGCTCTGGCGTCACCGTTGGCGAAGGATTGTGCTTCTCTCGTCGTCTCCGTCGATTACTAAAGCTGAAGGTGCGTGCTGTCATCTGTCTCCTAGGTGATTTTGGATTTCAATCATTTTGGTTCGTCAACATTTTGTGTCTGCGCGTACGCACGGGTCAAATGGTGTACCAACGGAAGGTGGATGAGTTTGATTTGGTGGCCAGCTAGTTTTTTTGGGCATAAGGAGTTTCATGGAGCAATACTCTGACTCCTGCCACTTGATTTTTTGTTTTTATCGCCTGCAATAGCTTCAGATCCGAAGGCCTTGTTCAAACTAGTGGTAGGTTATATCAGGTAGTAGCTTCAGGAATCCATGCTGGAGACTAATAACGTGTGTTGAGCAGGCCAGTGAACTCCTTTTTTCTGTATTGCCTGTGTTTTAGATTCCAATATATGTTAGTTTAGAGTTTGAGGTTCAATGTTTCAGTTGTCCCTTCAATGTTCAGTGGTTCAGATTTCAGTATTTTAGTTTTTCAATTTTTAGTCCAGAATATTTAATTTATTGTTTGCATGTTTTTTTGGTTCAGATTTGAATTTAATTTTCAGTCTAGATTTCAGTATTCAATTTTCAGTACTGATCGGGGACCGATTTCTTGGTTTGGTGCGCGTAGTTACGTCAACAACAAGTTCAGCATCCAGTAGAAGGCCACCATCGGCGCGGATTTCGTCACCAAGGAGGTCCAGATCGACGACCGCCTCTTCACATTGCAGGCCTGCATGATTTGTAAGCAAGCAACGGAGGTAGTGAATAGAAGGAGCAGCATCATGTTTTATATTTTGTCTTGTGTCCATGTTGCAGCAGCAGCACTGCAATGCACATCTAAAATCTCATAAGTTAAAATACTGGGTTTATGCAGTATAAATGCAAATACATCCCTGCCAAATGTTAGTCTAAATGACAATTAGGTTTATACTGCCAGACTGATGCATTCAGGCATGTGCATTTGGGTTTATGCAGTCTGATGCCACCTCTGACAGTGATGCATTCAGAGATATTGAGAACCACGAACTGTTAGATGCATACCTGCCAATTGAAAATCATATAGGTAGTTTATATGAATTATCTAGTTCTTATAGTCGACAAATATATATTAGTATACCAGAACTATATTAGCAAGCATCACGGACTTCCATGTGGTGGGCGTCCAGCCGCCCAACCACCAGCAGCCAAGTGAAACAGACGGTCGAGACGTAGCCACGTACTAGTAGGCGGCTCCGGAAACTGCCCGGTTGCGGGGACGACTGGATGCACGCAACGGAACGAGATGGTGACCGTCACGGGTCCCTATGCCCCAGCCATAAATAGCTACCCCTCCTCATCCTCAAGGCTCTCAATCCCCTCTCGGAGTCTCATCTCGTGTTGCTCGAAGCATGCACAACTATATATGGCCATGCAGCCCGAGACCGTCGGCCCGGCACGAGGCCCGTTTTTTTGGCCCGGCCCAAGCACGGCCAGGCCCGGTGGCGAGCGAGCCCGGACTGGCACGTGGGCCGGCACGACACGACCCGATCCACATCGCATGGCCCGGTGGCGGCCCGGCCAGCCGGCCTGCCCCGCCCCCACCGCAGCCCCCCACCCCCCGAACTGCCGAACCCTATCCCCTCCTCCTCACCTCTGCGCCGGCGTCGCGGACGCCCTCTCCCTTCCCTCGCGTCGGGCGAGGCGAGCACGGACGCGGGACGCCTCCTCCCTCTCCTCGGCGTCATCGGCTCCTTGCGCGACCTCTCCTCTCCTCCGGCCGCCTCCTCCACGCCCCCCCCCGCACCACCGGCTGGCGCCTGGCGACTTCGAGCACGGTGGCGTCGAGCACACCAGCGTCGAGCGTGGTGGCCCGCCTCGAGCGGCTCCTCCGGATCCAGCTTCGAGGGCGTCAGCCTCCTCCACCGCTCCACGCCTCCTGCTCATGTGGATCCGCGTCGAGTTCCTCGGTGGCGAGCGCGCCGGCCTCCTCCGGATCTAGCGTCGATCTCCTCGGCGGTGAGCGGCGTTGACCTCCTACACCTCTTGGACTCCCCTTCGCCCTTCCCCTCTCTCCTGTGAAATTGGCCATGCTTCTCGGGCCGGCCCGGCACGAAAATCGGCCCATAGTGCCGTGCCTGGGCCTGAGGCCAGGCCCGTGGCCTTGTGAGGCACGGCCCGGGAGGCATGGCGCCGTGCCTGGCCGGGCCGGCCAGTTGGCCATCTATACGCACAACAAAAACCGATCCCAATCCCTTCTCTCTCTCTCGAGCCTCGTCGATCCCTTCCCGCCTCAAGGTACGCACGGTGATCCTCTCTCTCATGTGCCGATTTGTAGATCAGCGATCGATTCTCCTCCCTCTCTACACCCTACTCTAGATCCGATCGATGGTTATGACCTCTAAGCGGTGGGGATCCTCATCGCTTCTGTTCGTGGATGGCTCATGGCTAGGGTTAGAACTTTTGTGTCGATTTGATAGGTTCCACTGACTTTTATCACTTTTGTGCGAATTATATTGGGGTGGGGGGTTAATTGCTTGATGACTTGATGATCTGGGAACTACGGCCATCTTCTAGGCGACTACAGTACTAGATATGAATCGTTCTCATGATGATATGAATCGTTCTCGTGATAATTATTTATTTGGCTTATTGCTGCGTTAGTAGTTTTTTAATTCCCGGTGCAGATACGATCTAGTCAATCCTGTTTTTGTTCAGTCTTATGATCCTGTGCTTATGGTTATGGAATTAGATGGGTGCGCCTGATTTCATTCACAAACCTCTGGTAGGTCGATAGGTTTGTGTGCCTGGCTGATTCGTCTAGGAAAAAACAGTTTTGTTGCTTTGCCCCTCTAGAATCTTTTCATTTGAATAATCACCTAAACTGGGCTTATTGAATTTGGATCTGTATGTCTAGGGTCAGTTTTGTTGCTTTTGGTCTCTTTGCTTTGCCCCCTCTAGATCAGTCGAATAATCACCTGAACTGCTCATGGGCTTATTGAATTTGGATCTACATGCATGTTCACAATTAGTATTGATGGATGGATGGATATGTGCTTTGATAGTCGAAGATGTATGTTGTAGCTGTTACCTGAGAAGTTTTCATTGTTGTCAATCTGCATGCATAGGAGATACATGAAGACTTATATGCAGTTGAGGCTATAGCTTTTGCCTGTGAACATGCATCCACCTGTGAACATGCATGCACCTGTTTTGTTTGATATGCATGCTTAGATAGATGAAGATATACATGGATACTGTTTGATAATTCTTTTTTCATCAATCTGTTCAACATGCATGCCCGTAGTTATATCTTTATGTACTTGGATGGAGACATGATGTTACAGTGTTACTGTTTGTTGATTCCATGGCATTGTTTGTTGATTACATGGCACCTTTGTGGTTTTCATTTCCTCCTTGCTCTACTGCTATACACTTACCCTGTTGTTTGATTATACTTTGCAGATGCAGATCTTTGTGAAGACCCTCACGGGCAAGACCATCACCCTCGAGGTGGAGTCTTCTGACACCATCGACAATGTCAAGGCGAAGATCCAGGACAAGGAGGGCATCCCCCAGACCAGCAGCGCCTCATCTTTGCAGGCAAGCAGCTGGAGGATGGCCGCACCCTTGCGGACTACAACATCCAGAAGGAGAGCACTCTACACCTGGTGCTCCGCCTGAGGGGTGGGATACAGATCTTCGTGAAGACCCTCACCGGCAAGACCATTACCCTCGAGGTGGAGTCCTCGGACACCATCGACAACGTCAAGGCCAAGATCCAGGACAAGGAGGGCATCTCCCCGGACCAGCAGCGCCTCATCTTTGCCGGCAAGCAGCTGGAGGATGGCCACACCCTTGCTGACTACAACATCCAGAAGGAGAGCACTCTGCACCTGGTGCTCCGCCTGAGGGGTGGGATGCAGATCTTCCTGAAGACCCTCACTGGCAAGACCATCACACTGGAGGTTTAGAGCTCGGACACCATCGACAACGTCAAGGCCAAGATCCATGACAATGAGGGCATCCCCCAGACCAGCAGTGCCTCATCTTCGCCGGCAAGCAGCTGGAGGATGGCCGCACCCTTGTGGACTACAACATCCAGAAGGAGAGCACCCTCCATCTGGTGCTCCGCCTGAGGGATGGTATGCAGATATTTGTCAAGACCCTCACTGGCAAGACCATCACCCTGGAGGTGGAGTCCTCAGACACCATCGACAACGTCAAGGCCAAGATTCAGGACAAGGAGGGCATTCCCCCGGACCAGCAGCGCCTCATCTTCGCCGGCAAGCAGCTGGAGGATGGCCGTACCCTTGCTGACTACAACATCCAGAAGGAGTCCACTCTCCACCTGGTGCTGCGTCTCCGTGGTGGCCAGTAAGCCATCGGTTGTCGAAGCTACTCCTGTGCCCTTGTCCTCTGGTGCATCATGTCTTGGCTGTGTACTTTGAAGTACATCTGTGTGGTTTGCGTCGTGGCTTTGCTTTGGTTTCATGGACCGGTTGTATGCCTGTCCCTATGTCCCTGGACCAGTTGTGTCCCTGTGTGTTCTACCTAAAACTGTCTTTGTGCACCGGTATGGTGTATTCATGAATAAGTTGTGATCTTTGAACTTAAATCTGTGTTCGATATAGTTGTTTTTGGTTATGACAGAGTCTGAGATTAAATTGGTTGGCAAGAGTTTCATTTTAGGCACCTCCTGATTCTGGTTGTCTCCTGTTTCTACTGAATGTTAACTTCAGGTTCTGGCAACCTCAGTGTGTATTCATGAATAAGTTGTGATCTTTGAACTTAAATATGTGTTCGATATGGTTGTTTTTGGTTATGGCAGAGTCAGAGATTAAATTGGTTGGCAAGAGTTTCATTTTGGGCACCTCCTGATTCTGGTTGTCTCCTGTTTCTACTGAATGTCAACTTCAAGTTCTAGCAACCTCAGTTTTTGACACTGGGTCTTGTAGCTTAGGCCCCGTTTGGGTGTTGCTGTTTCTTAAAACTCTAGTTTGGGTGTTGTTCGTTTGGCTGATAAGCCATGACTGAAAGTACTGTTGGTTGATTTGTTGTGAGAGAAATACTGTTCGTTGGCTGAAAAAGTACGGCTTATAAGCCAAGCGAACAGGGCGGCTATTTCTTAAAACTCTAGTATTACGAAACCACAATTTTAAAAACAGTAGGCATGTAATACCATAGTATTTAGAAACCGTAGTGTTTCTCTATTTAAGAAAAGCTATGACGTGTTTGGCTACACAGCAATATGTTGCTTTTGAGACTAGTAGGTTGTGTCTATGCTGCTAAAAATAGCATGTATCTCTAAAGATAGCAGTGAAAATGAGACGCGCCATCAGAGATGGACGCGCGTCACCGAGCTCTGTCAAAAATAAAGTTTTTTAGACTCCAAAAAACTATGGTTTTATTAATACAGTAGTTTATAAAACTCCAAATTAATTATATCCAAACACCTTCTTTCTTTCAGATACCTTGGTATTGATATAAAACTCTAAAAAAACTTTGTATTCATACAGGGCCTTAACATGTTTGGTTCTCTGTTTTTTTTTGCTAATCAATATGTTGTTTATTTATTACTACATTCGGGTTGCTAGTTGTATATTACCAGATTCCGACTACTAGTTATTGTTTATTACTACAGTCGGGCTGCTGTATATTACTAGATTCAGTGCAACGCCATGTCTCCAGGAGCAGGCTTCCGAATCGTTAGACCAAGTTCACTCTGAAGAAGCAGGATTCAGCAAGTTCATTTGGAAGAAGCAGATCATTCTGAATGCCCTTGGCAGCAATGGCTTCGTGTTATGTAGGACCAACGAAACGTGGTCAAGTCTGTAAGATTGTTACAACAAGCAGACCACGTAGGATCTTTATCTAAACCGACTCATAGCAAACTACAGGTTCTAGAATTTAATAGGTAGTGCCGCCCACATTCTCTCACCGCTTACGGCCTTACGTTACCCTCTCTGGGCTCATTTACACCCTCTCTGGCTCATATTTCCCACATTTGTAGTATAATAAATTTGTAGAACCAGTGAGATCTTTTTAGTTCTTAATTTTTCCGTTTCAGACTATCTCGGTGTCAAAATAATCGATAAAATCTCCATATCTAAATCTTCGTAGTTTTAAGTATGATAGCTGAGTACATCGAAATGTCTGAATATTTTAGTTTTTGTAAGAGTTTCCAGTCCTTGCCGGCTTGCAGATCCGGTCGAGGAGCATACCAAGGAACGTAGTGAAAATTCTGGAATAGTAGCATTTAGCAACTCAAATATGGCGACAATTATTATTTTATATTCTCTAAGGCGCAATCCAGACCATGCTGAAAAATACCTACTTGTGCTGTCCTAGCTTGCAAGCTAGCTGTACTTGGACCTCTTTCATGTGTCGTTAGATTGTTAATAGGAACTCATTGGCAATATCATATCCTCAATGAGCAGTTGAAATCTTTTTCATTTTACTGAATAATGTTCTATAGAAGCTGGGCCAAAACTGGTTCTAAAGAAAGCTGGATTGTTCCCTATAAGCTTTTAAGTGTCAAACGTCAAATTATTTCCACCTTTCTGATTCCACGTACAAACAAAACTATCACCAACGGCTCGATTATGCAAAGCCAAGGTTCCAGGCCTCAAATCTCTGTGTAATCTCGCATGTTCCTCATGGTCCTTGCACTTTCAACCAACATTGCAGACTACAGTTTCTTTGCTCGTAGCAACAAAGCACATAGCACATAGCACAGCCTACAAGTAAGTTTTGATGGAATTTCATCACGGCATAGCATGAACATTATTCTTTTGTTACTAATATAGATGTGCATAAAGCTTACATGTATCATGGCAGAGAACTTTACATCATGGTTCATGAATCAACACTTCCCATGCATGCTATCCCTTTGCTTAATTTATATGTCATGAAATTTACCAAGCTGATAGCTGCAACATCAGCAGTCAATCCCTAGCGGTGGCTTCACAGATGATTAGACAAAAATTTTGGGAGAGCCTCTAGCGGTGGCTTCACAGATGGTTCCATCAACCTCAGACAAAAATTTTGGGAGAGCCTCCAATACCTGGTCTTTTGGGGACCAATTTTTTGGTAGCGCTGTTTTCAGATATATGGATGTTTATGGAACTTAGACCAACTATAATCTAAAAAACTGGAATGGTCCTAACTCCTAAATAATGACAACTTCACTATTGAAGCAAAATTAGCCTTTTTACTATCTTGTAAAAAATGGTTAAGTGGAAGAGATGTCCTATATTTGTAGGGCTCTATAACATATAATCGTCAACATCAGTACCTGTTTTTTTTTCCTCTGAAAAAACATTATAAATTAAGGTAAAGACTTTACTCCAAGTTTTTTTACTTGTCTGGAACTACTTTTGCTTAGCAATATATACTCTTATTTCAGAACGTCCACTCTAAATGTTTAGTTTTTTTCTTTAACTTGGGTGCTAACCTTGCCTGTTCTGGTACTTGTTTCAGAGGTACTTGTTTCAGGGGAGTGTGCTTCCAGCAGCAGCATACAGAGTACAGAGTTTCAGAGCTGCTCGTTGTGGGGTTTGCAGCTCCTCCGTTGACAGATGACCTGTTTCAGTACCAACGACATTCCATCATCTCTTTGGGAGATCGACGAAACATGAATAGAAAAAAATAACTCACAATTGTCATAGAAACCAGGTGTCCTGCTCAACCAAGTTCTCCAGGATCAACACTGACGAGTAATGTGAGTCATACATCGAGACTCGAGACAAGTAAGCAGAAGATCACATTATTTAACGACTTACAATCTCAACCATGGCACTTCACGATTTGCACATGCTTCCTTGAATTTTTAAGAACAAACGAGCAAATCAGTGGCATGCATGTATTGCAGCAGCAAGCAATATAATGCATCGTTGCAAATTCGCAAACAAACCTTCACCGTCCCACAAAGTCTTCGTCCAAGAAAAGCTTTTCATGCAGATGCAGTTGCAAAAGGATGATGATGGAGTCGAGGTCGTTCTCTAGCCGGCGGCGCCACACCTGCAAGAGACACACACATGCACAGTCCCGTATTCTTTGCCATGCAACAAGATGAAGGAGGAGGAGAAGCAGCTTCAGAAAGCGATGGCCCGGTGGCGGTCGTACACGTAGACGAAGGCATCGTAGGAGCAGGCCTGGCACCTGAGTTCGCACATCCCACGGGACACCAGCGACGAGAAGGGCGTTTTGCACCGGGAGCACTCGGCGGGGCACGTGAACTTCTCCCGCTCGTCATCGTCACGTTGCCGCCGCCGCGGCGGAGGATCGCGTGGCGGTGGCTCAGCGGCAGTGGCTGCAGGGGCGGGGCTGAGGCACCCTCCGCCTGGCTCTGCTGCTGCGGCGGCGGATTGAAGGGAGTGCCGCACGAATGGCACCTGCCGCCGGGCGTGCCGCGGTGGCCGCCTCCCGCGTCGGACTCGGACTCCGAGCCGCAGTGCCCGCAGTAGGCGGTGCCCTTTTTGCGCGCGTACCTCGACCGCCACGCGTTGAAGTTGACCGAGGACGCCGACGAGAAGAGCGGCGGCGGCGTGTAGCCGTACGATGATCAGGTGCGCTCGGGCGGCGGCTTGTAGCGGAAGTACGACGACCACCCGTTGGGGTCGGGGTCGGGCGCTCCGGCCGGCGGCGGCGAGTTGGGGAAGAAACGAGGACCACCAGTCGGGGTCGGGGGCTCCGGCCGGCGGCGGCCTGGGCTTGGGTCCGGGTCCGGGTCCGGGTCCGGAGCCGGTTCCCGGAGGGTGGCGGGCGGAGAGCACCTCCCACGCCCGCTGGAGCAGCTTGAACGCGCCGTCGGCGGCCGCCGAGCGGTTCTTGTCCGGGTGCAGGACGAGGCAGAGACGCCTGTACCGCTTCTTGATGGCGTCGTGGTCCTGCGTGACTGGCTCCGGCTGGCCGACGCCGAGCACCGCGTACCAGCAGTTCCTCCCGCCGCGGGCGGCGGCGTGGACCTCGTACGCGGCGAGGGCGCTCTGCAGGGCAGGGAGCGACGCCAAGTGCCTCTTGGCGTTCCGGACCACCCGCAGCGCGCCGTCGAGGTCGTCGACGAGGAAGCGCTCCTCCGACGATCTGAAGGCTTTCTCCGCCTCCTCCGTGCTGGTCGCCATGAGAGAGTCAGAGCCGGGGATCGAAGGGACTCGGCGTCGACGAGACGAGATATATATCCGGCAGAAGGCGCGGACAGTCCGACTCGAACTCGCGTGATCGCAACCTACGCGGAGGCAGTCGGCAGATGAGTCACCGCCTCGCGCGAGCCTCGGCGCAATCTCTCCCCGTATTCGTTACATAATACAATAAACTATTTTAATAAATATAAATAAAAACCACTCTCCCTGTTCTTTTAATAAACAATCTAATTTGACTTTCAGTAAAATGCATAAAATTCAGCAAGTGATAATGGTAGGGTAACTATCAAGGCAAAGTAAATTTGTCTCAAATTCAGTGATTGCTTCTCATCGCCTTTAAAGAGTCATACAACACAGTATGGGTATCCTCTTGATTCCCAGTACGCAACACTTCGGCTACGTCTGTTTTCACAGACGCACCACCAGCACATCTTCACATTTTACTGAAGCGCAGCGATGGTAAAACATCTGCAGAAATTGCTCCAACGGCAACTGTTTATTAAGATCAGAAATTTGTCCGACGGCAACAGTTTATTAGGATCCATGAGAGGAGCAGGTTATTAGAGTTAGGTTTGTTTGGGCTCCGACCCTACCGCCACCTCATTTCTTCATTGCAGTTCTCCAACAGGCGCTTCATTGAGCCACAAGAAATGGATGAAGTCATACAGCTTAGTACTCACGCTTACCTGTTCAGATACAACGATGCATGATGAAATATGAGTTCGATCAAATTGTCTTAGCTTGTGACATTAATAGCATCCAGATCAAGAGTTAGATTAGACTACCTTGTAAGGTGTTGGGTTCAGCCGCCTCATATGGTCTGGCCTCATTCGGTCCAGATGGTGAATACACCGAGTCCTAATCTCCTGGATGGATGGAAGCACCTCCCGTGGATTCGCTTCACCAAATGACAACACAACACATGTCGACATCAATGGCTCCCAGCTTAAATAACAATTTTATTATCCGTCTAACAATTTAAACTAAACGAGGACACATACTTAGCCGATGTAAGTGATAATCCTACAGCTCTTGCGGTACGGTTGTCATGATAGCAGTGCACTATCCCTAGTGGCAGAAACCCTATTCTATATTTGGCTGTGGTGATTAGCATCATACACGCAGTAACAATAAGTTATTTTAGGTAATGCCAATACTAGCAGCACATCATAGTCTACTACAGTACACATCAGTGTATTGTAAATATGCTTCATGAAAGACAACTAGCACGGTCAATGGAGCATGCATGCACAAGGGGCAAATAAGGTAACAAAACACTATGCAAAAGTAACTCAGGTGGGAGTTCATACATGAAGTTCCAGGCCAGTAGCACCTCAATAATTCCTCAACATGCTGCGGAACAACATACGCTCTCTTTGATTCATTGAAAGGGTGACGACACAGGAGCCTTTCACCAATCTATAAACAAATGGTAAATCATAAAACCCACCAGCTGTTTCAGATTTCGTAAAATAGTAACTATGGCATACAAAATCACAACTGAAAGAACATGTAGGTGCCATGTAGCCTAGAATTTTGAAGTGAAATATTTTTTTATGCAAGCTCACCGTTTGTATTTTTAAGCATTAACATGGATATTGTTTACCTTTGGACCTGGCTCATCTTCTCCAGTCATTATATCAACCAACGGATATCCTTCTTTGCCATACAATCTGTAGCATTTTTTCTTACATGGTATCGATACCTGGAGCAGACAACTAAGTTCTCGGTCTGTTTGGATGCATAGAAGACTTGTTTCTGCTATGAAGTAATAATGGCTATACATACCTTTGTGACATCTTCAGAAAGCTTAATGCGAGGCTGTTTGTTAATCTCAACTAATTTGAATACACAACCAAGTGCAGCTTGTGCATAGCATGTAACTAGGTAGGTGCCAATACCAAACGCATCTACCTCATGGCCCTACACAAAAAATGCCAATATGTATAGATTGCAGTGACGCAATAAATGTAATTAATGTGAGCACGCATGTATTTATCACGGCCTTGCACATTTGAACCTGCTTGCACAGCCATGTGTGATGTTGAATTCATCATAACAATGAATTAAACAGAGGTTTCCACTATCCGGTTAATTGGTACCAGGTATTGTAGTAAGCATAAATAATTCATTTCTTCCTGTTAGTACAGGGACCATGCTGTTCCAGTCTGTATTAGATATGTGCTAGTCAGTAGCTGTACTTACTAAGCACGTAGTTCAGTTAATGATATCTGACCATTGGATCACACATATCATTAGCACAAACTTAAAAATGTCAGAAATTACAATATACATAATTTCCAAACCTGTTCTACAAGAGAGAAATCTACATGCTACGATGTCAACCATTTTGAATGGATAATATGTAGATTACCTGTTTGTTCAGGGCATCTATAGTTTCTTCATTAAGATCATTGCTTGCTGTGATACTTGTTTTCCCAAAGCCAACGACTTCAAATTCTTTTTCAATTGCACGGAAGAACTTGCGGGACTCAATGGATAGGTATGCTAAGTCACCAGAGTCCAACCTAATACCGACTGCCTTATACCTGCAATGAAAACTTATGTAAGTGCCAACGGCAAATGCTTATCTCTGCTGCTTTCTTTGGAACACTTAACAATCACTAATAGACCAATGAAGCATGAATTGCAAATATGAAACTGAAACATGTCAGTTCCATCATGCTGTGGTATGACAAAGTAGCCCCTATCCGCATCTCTGTCCTCTGCTTGCTGTCTGCTCCATCTGAAAAGATCAATAGTCAACCGCCCAGCCCCCTAAGCTCCCAGAGGAGCTTGACTGCCCATGACCAATTCCTGTGCCTGAGACCGCCCACCCGCCAACAGCCTGTCTGGCTCCAGCTGAGCTTGTACGCCATGGCATTGTTGTATGCCACCCACTGCACAGCTTCATACTCACGGACATACACAGCCCAAATTAAAACCAATGAAGACTAAAACCAATGAAGACTAACCGCTCTAAAGATCCACCCTAGCAGCAAGCTAATTAATGCACGAAGGGAGCAACTGGGATGAACAAAGCCATGGCTTCAAATTTGAGCAAACCAGTGGCAGTTCATGCCTTGAAAATAGACCGGGGCTTCCAATCATAAATTTATAATTTGAATTTTTTATAGTGGCAGAGCGAATTTTTAAGTCAGACTTATCAAGAACAATAAAGAATTTTAAGAATCATTTGTTGCTGAAATGTATATAAAAATTTGAACCTGGGTGATCTGGGTATACATCCACACCCTCGATCAACTGAGCTAGCTCGTTGCTGAAATATCAAAGCAACTAATACTCACATGCAAACCTGGAGTTTCCTAAATCTCAGCAATACACATGAGATGCATTTGTGGAGTAACTAAAAAATAACGCACTTAGGGCAGCGAATTCCTAACGCAAAGAGCCAAGAGATCAAGTGCTGGTATTGGTTCCTATGCCCAAAATGCTTGTTAGGGAGAAAGTTTCTTGCTAATTAGCAGTGGTAGACCCACCGCCCGGCCACCCTGGGCGGCCAGCCAGGCTCCTCCGCGATGTGCAAAGGAAATTTTCCATTGTATTAAATAGAAACTCTGTATTTTTTCTAGATAAATATTCTTGCACAATAAGAATTGTCCGGGTTCTTATAAGTGTCTGGCTCCGCCACTGCTAATCAGTGTTACATATCACACCAAAAGTCCCTGATTATTCCTAAATATTCATGCCATCACTTCTAGGTAAGTTAGGCAACAATGAACCTCAAAACTGAATATTGAGTACAATGGAAGGGCTAAAGAAAAGACAAGTTTACTTATGTTGAAAGTGCAATTGCTCTTTATAAAGGAAGCAACCACAAAGTTTTACTTGTGCACGTTGAGAAAAGGAAAACTAAGTATTAAGGAGACGAGCGTCAGACAAAATTACCCCATATCATTGAGGGCCAAAGCAACAGCACAGAAGTTTGGCACTCCACTTCTCGTGACCTAGCAGTGGCATGGATTAAAATATCAGCTATGCTCAGATAGAAGTTGATGTGCTAATTCTATCAAGGTCATCCCTAAGCATTCACTATTTCATGAGCAATCCACTATCTCTAGCAAGCCTAAGCTGGATACAAATAATCATAACTAGCAGGTCAGAATATATGCACTACGCAGGTTAGATGCCCATAATATATCCATTGGAACCTAAGGATGCAAATGAAAATGCCTTGATTTTGGTGCCCCCTCCCGACACCCCCTTCTTCGGAATAAGTTGGGGGCCTATTTTTTTAATTAACAATTCCACAGTTCCTCCTAGGTTGGTCGAGCTTTCATTTTTTGTTCTTTTCTATCTTTTGATTATTTTTTCTCAAACTACGCAGGAGAGCTGCATGCCATTTCAAGAAATCATATGGTGTCTGCAATGTTTATCCAGCACGGGGAAAAACCATTAAACAGAAGAAACATTATTTTGCACATGCCACAAAACAACATAGAAAAACAATTGCTGACAAAGATCAACTTACATCATATGTGTCAACCAAGGCCAGGAAGGAATTTGGAAATGCCAGTGCATATGACGTGAATGCAGCCAACTCACTTTGGTTTGTTTCTCCAAAGGTACCATGCAATGAACTAGATTCCTGAGAATAACAAATTATAGATCTTGACTAGTGGATAGTTGAAAACAAATTACTAAGTACTAGGAGGTCTGTAACTTCAAAATGCAGGGAAAACTCTATTGTAACTTGCAAGAAGAAAATGAATAAGCGCACATGAAATATCTAATTCAGCATGCTTTTCCAAATCTGAGTGGGTAGTAATTAATCTGTAACATGAGCAACACCTGAATCCTGATCAGCCAATTCTGCACCAGAGAGCCAAAATCTTCACATTTCTTTGAACCATCAGAACTACTAAGTGCTTTGTCAGTAATGTCATCAAGACCCTGCAAAACGATACTAAGTTAGAGCAGAAGTCCACTGGGAATGAATAGAAGCTTTGCTTTCTCGTCCAGAAAAAAAAACCCCGAATCACATAGTTGCAAAGTTCATAGCATACTATCTCATTGCCCACTGTGAAGCATTTGATCCCTCACTGCACCTTCAGACCTTCTACATTTACATCATGGACAAATTTCAAAATATCTAATCCTAAAACGTCTTGGTTGTGAATACTATGTATACTCGACTTACAGGAAAAAAACACAAAATGTACAAGATGAGATCCCTATCTTCATTATATACTTCATCCATCACCCCACATTATTATATGTTTGAATATTAGGGGGTAGCAGTGGCACCTGACAAAGCATCTGGGTTATCAAATGCAAGCCAACTAGAATTTTTTTTGTTCAATATGCAAACTAACAGATTGTCCAACGGAGACCTCCAGAGGCACCGGTGCGTAGTGGAATCCTAAGCCAGGATAGTAACGTGAAGAGAGGCAGAGAAAGACCGAAGTTGACTTGGGTAGAGGCAATAAAAGGAGACTTGAAAGGATGGAATATACCCAAAGACTTAGCCTTAGATAGGAGTGCTTGGAAAACAGCTATTCACGTGCCTGAACCTTGATTGCTTCTGCTGGGTTTTAACTCTAGCCTACCCCAACTTGTTTGGGACTTAAAGGCTTTGTTGTTGTTGTTGTTGTATGCAAACTAACAGATTCATCATTTCTCAAGCCATGAAATAGTACGTTAATCCTATAATTGTGCAAACGAGAAACAGAGGAACTATGGAATAAAGCATGCTTGCACTATCTGAACCTGATAAACAAATCTGTACATTACTACAGAAGCATTGGATCTAACAACAAAGAAAAAAACAGTTGGAACAGGACTAATCACTAATGTCCAATGTTTCTAGTATAGATAATGGCATAACGACACACAGAAAACTCCGTAAAATGACAGTAAATTGAATCATTCACAAAGCAAGATTGGAATAACAAGAAGTCACCACTAACCATGAAGGAGCTGACAAATGCATGTGAATGAGTCCCACGTATTGGTATCCCAAACAATCTTCCTGCTGCAACATTGCTGTTCAGGTAGATATCATATATTATGATGATGACAACTGACTTTCCTTCCAAGTAAATTTATAAAATAATCTTCTAGCATTGCAAGATCTAGTATACCTACTCAGTTAGAAAATATCTCACCTCACTATGACTTATCATATATATGAGCAATATGCTACATGTTACTATTCTAGATGGTTCATTTAGATTGCATCAGTAGCATAAACAGTCAAAGCTAGGCGGACAAATACCCAGAAGAGCGCAGAAAATAGCGAATCTAAGCTATGAACGAGTCAAAAAAAAAGTAAAACTCAAAAGGCTAGATAAAGTCAGAGCACGTAGTATTCTATAACTACAGCACTGTGTTCATTGAGTGAGCAAAGCAGACCTTGTTGCATCAAAGCCTCCCATATAACAATATCTTGATGCGCTGATTCCTCCATCAGGTCCCTGATAGATGAGTATTTATAGGTCTAACATACAAAGGTTAATGGATGAGCAAGCAAACCAGTATGAAAAGTAAGACCCACTTGAGCCCGTCGAAGTCCAAATTCAAGTAAATTCTTCGACTTTCCAGCTACAAGTCGGTGCCGTGCCGCATTTGTGGTAACCAGAGAAGCATAGTTGACCAGATTTAGAAATGGAGTTTCAAGAAGCTGGACAACCTGGGACAAACATCGCAACCTCAATGTATGGGAAAACTGGAATATCAGTGCATGTTAAAAATGTGTCAACCTACAGCAGCTACTGTTGTGAAGCTTTTACATGCTAACTTATTCCTGGTACTTACAGCAACAGGTCCTTCAATTCTCATCAGTGGAACTTTAGGGAACACAACATAACCCTCGGGTATGGCATAAACCTCCACGTCTGAGCAGTCAATCGAACGTAGGTACTCAAAGAAGCCGTCCTACAACAGGAGCGGTGAGCATAAATTAGCTGGTTGCCACAAGACATGGAAAGAATCATCGTAATATGAAATGAGCATAGTTGAGCTGCTAATGAAAACTACAAATGTTTTTCAACTGTACATCATGCAGAATTTCCAATAACATGATCCAGTTTTTTCAACAAGACTAGCAAATTCACCTCACATGTAGGCATGACAGATTGCAGAAATTTGATTTCATCCTCCGTGAACTTGAAGTTAGCAATGAACCTTATACATTCCTCAAGGCCACCGAAGATGGTGAACTCACCGCCAAATGGATTTTTCCGGAAGTATAGATCAAAGCTGAAAACATTTCAGTTCGCAATAAGTACAGGTGCAAGAGAGTAAAACATAACTAGAAGACCGATACAAACAGAAAAACTGTGACGGTGATTTACACACTTGTAAACTACACTGCATTGTACCAAGTACCACCTAGATAAAGATTAAAGCACTTGGCCTAGTGCAAACGGTTTTCCATTGCAAACCTAATCTTACAGCATACTGAAACGAAACTACCGAGCAGAGCCCAAATCTGTTCAGAGTTTAGCAGACCACAATTATCACAGCTAGCCCAGCCTCTCGCACGATTTCACAAAAACCAAGTAGAAAAATAATTCCAAAACACTACCCAGTGACGCCTAATTCGAGGCGGGGCCATACCTACCAACCCCTCCTCACCGGCGGCGCCATACCTATCGCCCCCTCCTCACCGGCCTTACAAATCGCCACTACTCCGCCGGAGGTAAGTGTAAACTGACACCACAAATCGAGGGACAGGACAGAGGAAACAAAGGGAGCGTGGGAGAGTTAGGGGTGGGGAGGAGCAGGGGGCTCAGGGCTAACACTGCGCGGTCGAGGTGCTTGCCGGCCTTCCAGTAGGCGTAGGCCATGGTGAACTGGTAGAGGTCGGTGAGCAGCGGCGTCACCATGGGGTTCGTCGGCCGCGGAACACCGCCGCTGCCGTGGCTGGCGTCCCCGTTCGCCGCTGCCATGTTTTTTTCCCCTTCCCGTGGCGCGCGTCTCGTGCTCCTGTGATGGAGACGGGAGAGGAATGGAGGAACCGAGAGCAAGTCGGGGAAGAGGAGCGGTAGTGGTGCCGGCTACGGTGGCGGCTCCTGGAGAGCCCGAAACCGAAAGCGAAAAGGCCGAGATCGCGACGACGCGGACACGTGGCGCCCCGCTTTGGGACTGACGGGCCTGGTTTGGTTGGCGTATGGAGAACGCGAATCACGTCTAGGGGCTGTTTGGTTACCTGGACCGCATCCCCCGCCCGATTTCATTTCATTGCGGCTCGTTCGTAGTCAAATGTTAAGATACATTGGTTCAGGCGGGCGATTAAAAAAAATGGACTCGAAACATCGGTCATTTGCAGATTCGATACTATATCTATATTTATATACATAGATAGATCCACTTGTCATCTAACCGAGTGTCATCGTAATTAAGGAGTCAATCTTTCGAGTGTCATTTTTACATTTTTTCGGTTCATAATTGAGTAAAGTGCTCGTGGCAAGTTATTCAAATCACTTGTAGCACTTATTAAGGGGGAGTTCACTCTTCTATTTTGTGCCATTGTGGACTAACAATCTCTTTTAGTGATCTTATAGTCCTAGGTATGAAAATTAGATCCTTGTAATGGCATGACTAGTAGAGTAGTGATACAAGCACAATAACTATCATGGCGTGTATTGTCTTAGTGGAAATCTTAGTGGGCTCAAGACAAAGGTATGTGTTTACATTTATATATTATAAGTGCATCTAATGCCCTTTATATGCTAGAACGTGCATTTGTGTGACATATGATAGATCTCTTTTTAAAATCCATAACTAGTATGTGTAGGTTGTGGATTTGAAAAAAAAACCATTTGATTCTTGGTCTTTGTGACCTAGTCTTGTCATGTGGTGATTATAGCTCTCCTTGATTGATTGATTCACTTAAGACCACAATCTACTATGTCTCAGTGTATCTCTCTCAAGTGATCAAAGTCTATATATGCCAAATATTTGGAAAACAAGAAGAAAAGATCAATTTGTGGCATTTGGATAAGAAAGTGGTTACACTTAAGCCCCCTTTGGCACGACTCATCCAAAACGGCTTCACCGGTGAAGCCAAAGCCGATGAAGCCAGAAAAACTGGCTTTTCCCGGCTTCTAGTTCATTTTAACCCCGGCTTACAAAACGGCTTCACGCTACAGTGCCTCGATTTACGTAAAATAGATGAAGCCGAAGCCGACATAAGCCGTGCCAAAGAGGCCCTTAACTTGGATCAAGGATAGATATTATTTTGGAGTAAGATATATCAGATAAAGGTTTTGGATTTAAGAGATAAATTTTTGGAGCTGCTGGAAGGTACCCGTAAATACCAGTCGGGTCCGGTATCCACGGGGGAGTTAGGTCATATACCCTTTCGGCCTAGGTCCGTGGCCCATTCATTCTCTCCAAGTCTCAACTGCCCTATGCCACCGCTCACCCCTGATCTCGCCCAGCGCTGTGCTCGCTGCTCCTTCAGCCTGCCAACGCTGCCGGTCAGCCTTCCCTCGCTCTGCATTGTCTCTAGCCGCGCCGCCTTCTTCTTCCCGCTGCGCATACTCGCCATCCACTGCAGCAGCAGCAGCACAACCATTCGCTCGTACCACCCTCATCTGTAACCGTGCAAGGAAGAAGGGTAAAGGAAAGGAAGGAGAAGAGAAGGGAGGTGGATTGGATCGAGTTCTACATCAAGAATCAAGGCCCGCTCGATTGGATTTGGAATCGACTTCATCTCCCTCATCTCTAGGTATTTCAAATCCCAAAACTCATCCGATCTATTGGATATAGCTTCAACTATCAATTCCTCTGGTAGAGTTGATGCATTGGTGATATAGGAAATGTTCCTAAAATTTGAGATGGAGTGGTTTTGAGTTTGAACATGGACCGAATTTTTGGGAGCTCTGCGCTAATACCGAACGCGTTCGGTATGCCTCAGGCCAGTGCATGTGCTCTGCATTCCTTGCTTTGTCTTGATCCAAAGTGATTCTTTAGAGTATTAGTGACTCGTCTGCACTATTTTGTGAACCGATGACCATGATTGGTTTAGGTGCTCGCAAAATTTGGATAAGTTAACTATTCTCTAAATTATCACTTAAAAGAGTCTTGTGGGCATGTATCTAAGATTCTTTGCAAACCTATTTGGATACAGGGCAGCAAAGCATGGGGAGACACAAGGATGGCAAGATTGAGCCTAGGTCTAAGGCTCAGCATGACAGACCTGCTTTTGAGAAGCGCAAGAAAGCCAAGCAGGACACAGCTCGCCAGCCCAGTCAGCTGGAGCAGAGCAGCAGCAGAGACCCCCTAGAGCCAGGGGTTCTCTATAGTACAGAGAGAGTGGTGATGGTGACAGTAGCCCCTCTTCTGATGGTGATGAAACTGAGGATTACATAGTAGAGCACATGAAGAAAAAGAGTACCGATAGAGACTCAGATGTTGACAGTCTTGATGATAAGGAGATTGAGGAGGATGAGGAGGTACCTCTAGTTCAGCACTCACCTCAGGAAGGATTGCCAGCTCATAGCATGCACTTTGGTATGCTCAAGGTACATCGTACTGTTGTACCTGATTATGTTGCCAGAGTTAATTACAAGGGAAAGGGCATGACTGAGAGAGCTAGAGAGCTGAGGAGGATTGATCCTAGGAGTCAGCCAGAGAGTTGCCCTTATGATCATAGGTTTTGCACTATGTTTCAACTTGATTATTATACTAGTATGATCCTCTCTAGAAACCTAGTAGTAGCAAAATCTCAGTGGATTGACTGGAAACGTATTAGAGAGTTGAAGAAGCCCTCTCTTGATGAAACAATTGCTATTTGTGAGAGCAAAGGGATTTATGGGCTCATGAAGTTTCAGCAGGATTAGAACTTTGAAGTAATAGCTCAGTTTTATGCTACCATGTTTGTCGAGGATGAGCCTAAGCGTATGCATTGGATGCTGGAAGGTCAGTGGTACAATGTTGACTGTAATGACTTTGTAGCCTTACTTGGATGTTCAGATGAGGATCTTCAGCAAGAGAAGATACACTCTGAGGGGATCTACCCACCTGAGAGACTTGCCTATATGTACAGGTGTGGATCAATTGGGAAGGTAAATGGCCTTTACCCCACCTACAGATACCTAGACACGATGTTTAGGAAGACCATTGATTGCAAAAGAGACAAATAAAACATTGCTAATTATTCTAGAAACTTGCTCTACAGGATGTCACCAGGTGCACAGTCCTTCAGTGTCTTTGATTTTATTTGGTTAGAGATTAGGAGTGTGGGTGAAAGACCCCTCAAGGGCTATGGATTTGCACCCTACATCATGTATATGATTGAGAAGGTGACAGGACACATATTTGAGTATGACAAGAAGCATAAAGTCCTAAAGATAGTGGATGACTTTTTTGATCTATTCAGTAGGGAAAGCCCCTACCTGATATTTTTTTGGATTTCAATTAAAAGAAAGAATGTTCTGTACACAAGAGCAACAAAAGAAGAGAAAGTACAAGGCCATAATGCCCAAAGGAGAAAAGAAACGAAAAAACTAAGTAAAATTCTCCTTCTAGTTAATTAGCGCAGCCTGTCTACTTGGCTTGGCCTTTGTGCAAACACGGTCAAGCTCCTCCTTGAACTGTCTTTTCCAATTGCTGAGGTTGGCCTACCCATTATCAAAGATGACTGCATTTCTTGTTACCCAAATGATCCAGCATGCCGTGATAAAAATTTCTCTAAAATTTTAACTTCCAAAGGATGTTCTAGCATCAATAATCATATCTAAAGGTGGCAAATTTTGGTTCCAACATATAGGGATGCTGTTCCAACATGTTGTACTGAAGTGGCATTCAAAAAACAGATGCATGCTAGTTTCCTCACAGTCAGAGTTACATAGGACACAATTGTAATTTTCTAGATCCATGTTCTTCCTCCTTAATAAGTTCCTTGTGTTGATTCTATCCCTGAGCAGGAGCCAAAAGAAAAACTTATGTTTACCAAGGTTGCTGGAGGCCCACATCTAATTGAAGAGTGGAGAAGTTTCTGTGTGGCCAATCAAAATTTTGTAAGCCTTCTTACTACTTTACTTGCATGATCCCCAAGAATAGTACCATATGTCCTTTGTATCTGCATTCCAAGTTCTCTGCTGAATGAGAGTGTGCACTTCTTCTAGCTGATTTGCAGCTTGTGTCGATAAGGGTAGGCTAAAAATTCTGCTTACATCTTGATCCAGAAAAAAACGGATGGAACATTTCTTCTTTCTGGTAAAGGAGAACAGTTGAGGGTAAAGGTCTTAGAGATTTTGGTCTGACCATTTATCAGCCCAAAAAAGAACAGTACTTCTATTGCTTGGATTACAGTTAGCAAAAACTCTGAATTTATGAAAAAGAGTCATAATGTATTTCCACCAAAAGGATCCAATTGGACTCCTAGCATGTGGAGGTGTCTGAGAATTAGAGTAAAATTTGGACCATGTCATGGATACCCAAGGTATTTATGCCTCATTGTAGAATTTGTCCAAAAATTTCATGAGTAAAGCATTGTTCTGACTCTTGATGTCAATAATACCTAGCCCACATTGATTCTTTGGTTTACAAGCTATTTCCCAGGCAGCAAGACAAGTTCCTCTCCTGTTGATGTCACCCTTGCTCCATAAGCAGTGCCTTCTATAGATATCAATTTGCTTAATTACTTGAACTAGGATTTTGAGACTACACATGTAAAATGTAGGAAGAGCTAAAAATACAGAGTTCACTAGAATGAGCCTTCCATCATAAGATAAGTGTTTACTGACTCCACAAAGTCCTTTCTCAATCTTTGTCAAAAGAGGTGTGAATTCTTGCAGAGTAGGCTTGGTTAGTCCAAGTGGAAGCCCCAAATATGTGAAAGGCATAGTTCCTATGCTGCAACCAAAAGTTCTTGCTAAATGTATGGCCTTTTCATCTGCTAAGTTAATGGGCACCAAGAAAGACTTCCTAAAGTTCACAT